AGTTAACGCTCTTATAGAGCGTCTAGTTTACCTCAGTTCCAACAGCAAAATCATCAGATTTAAAATTAATGTCTTCATTCAATATGGGTGGTGATTTATTAGCTACATCTTTACAAATTTACAGCTACACCTTTGGCTTCACAAATTACAACAATTCTGATTCAGGAACCGATGCCGTAACCCCCCGTCCAAACCGAGGTCCAAACTGCCCTGACAGTCACGCCAATGTCCCAATCTCAAACACTCCTCCACTCAGCGAGTCAGCTCTTGGAGCAGTAGACTGGAATCTTTGGAAGCACATTGAGTTCATGATCAAATGAAACATCAATGATTGGATTGTTTGTCAACCAAATGGAGGAAATCTGGTCAGAAGGGGAAGTGGAGATACTACCGCCACGTTTTTTTATATTCTGACAACTACTATAACACTAGTTGTCAGAATATAAAGAACGTGGCAGCAGCTTGTAGTGGCACGAAAAAGAATTACTGGCTCCCTTATGGACCATACTTTAGTGGTCCCTCATTGTTCTATTTCTTTAATGGATGCACATGTTATGCCTACCCAACGCATGACCCTTTTGGCAAAGATCGCACTGATCACAAGAAAGGAGTCGGCAACCCTGGCGGACAAATCTATCTTCGCTAGAATCCAAACCTTCGACTGAAGTTTCATATGAAAGTCCCCAAATGGACGTCATAATTATTCGTTCTACGTGTTATGTTGTGCAATACGTTTCAGAGCAGCCCCTTGCAGGCTCTAGCGATCATGCTGTTCCTAACGTTCTTGCCGTCCCTAGCATTCTTGCCGTCCCTAGCGTTCTTCCTGTTCTCGTCGTTCCTAGCGTTCTTGCCGTCCCTAGCGTTCTTCCTGCTCTCGTTCCTAGCGTTCTTGCTGTTCCTAGTAAATTCCAAACCTTCACATAACACACTTGATATAGCTTGCACAAGTAATCCGGGCGTAGATATATAGTCATACATAGCTTTTTAAATAATCCCTAAAACGACATTAGTAATAGCTGTGGTAACTGGCTAGACTGCATGGAAAGTTTTTTTCGGTATTTATAATATAGAAAAATTACATAGCATCAGAAATAAAAAAAAATAAATAAAAAAAAACATTTAGCATAGTATTAGCAACTTTGTATTGGTAATTTGGACTGCTTGCTCGGCCTCAAAAAGCAAGGTCACAAGATGGCGGAAATATAAAAGTGATTCCACATGGATTATATATATATCATAGATTAAAGTAAATAATCCTTTTAAATTTTGCACGGAAAATATTTTGCTATGCGCTGTTTTACTCTGGTTTTACTCGGTGTTTTTCGTAAGTCAGCGTTGTTTGCCATTAACAGTTATTCTCATATTATTCAGCTTCAATTTGCCGCGCATGAACCTTCAGTCAAAAAGTATTATAGCAAGCAGTCCAGATGTTCAATGGCAATCATTCAAGCTCATCCCGCAGCATTTATTCGATTGGGAGAGCTAGGCTCTAAACCAAGGAGCCCTATACTGCTGTAGGAACCAGGATGTTCGTGACATCAATAGACTCGTTAATTCATTTTAGTCCCTACATCTACGCGTTATTCAATAACTAATCTTGCCATTTTCCTCTTTCATCTCGCACCCAAAATAAACGCCATCGTGCGACAACTTGTGAACCTTCAGTAGAAAAATAATTGTATATTCAGTGTTAATAAAAGCCTATAGCAAATATTCTATCATGTTTGAAGACGTACCATTCATCTGTGCATCTTGGTGTGAACACAAGACGAGCTATCCATAATACGTCAAAAATGTCCGGCTTCGAACAACAACATAATTATCTGCATGTGTATGGATACAGTACTGTTGATCGAATGTCAATGTCTATATCAGTAAATCCTAGCTTTGGCATTGGACTCCAGTTGATGACAATGTCAAGACGGTTATCAAGAGCTTATACTTAATATTTAATATTTATCCGACAAAGAAACTTAATTCCATGCGGTCTGTTTTCGATATCCTCGAAACAATATCACAAAAAATCTGATAAACTCATTTCATTTAGCCATGCACAGACCTCCGCAAAAGAAACAGTCACAGAAATAGTGTGGAGAAATTTAAATAAAATGATTTCTCGATCAGAAAAAGTTCGTACATTAGGCCTGGGTCGTGGCTAAAGGGGATAGACTAGAGGTTTTCAAGATGGCCGTCAGTTTTTAAGATCATTAAAACGTAAAAGAATCGACATACAGCTACTTGCATGCAACATTACTAACCCACACCTAACCCTAATCTTAACCCCCACACTAACCCTAATACTAACCCAAACTTTTATTTCAATTTTGGAACCATCTCGTAAACTACCTCTCGTCCATCCCTTTTAGAGATTACCATTAAGCCTGCCCGTTCTCTTCCTGGTAGCTGTACAATGTCTAGTTGGTGAAGGAAAGGACGCAATATAAATTTACTACAAATAATTGCCAGAATGTTCGACCATAGGGTGTTCTATGAGGATGCTATATAGATAATGGCAATTTTGGTCTTGCAAATAAGCATCATATGTACTGCCTTATAGGAAAGTGATGACTATGTTGGCATTAGAATTACATACTACATTTTCCGCAGCCAAATGAAGAGTGACAAAATCCAGATTCCAGTCATATCTATTTGAGAAATCTAATTTTAGTTCTGATTTAGTTGTGATTTGTCCCCGAGCCGACGGCGCGGGTACTAATTCCCCCCGGCTATTTACACCCGAGGAAACGAAAGCATTAGCGAAGTCTAAAGTTCATCAAATATCGCGGGCGTGGGTCACTGTGCGTGGGTGGTCATCCTCACTGATCTCAAAAATATGGCGGACTGTCATGAATAGCGGACACTGATTGGTCCAATTTAAAGTTTGCATTATGACGACAGCGAAACAGCAAACATTTCTTGATTTGATGATTGATAAATTTCTTGCAAATATATCTTATTTTTGCTCGTATTTTTGCAAGATTTTGTAAATTTCAAGAAAGGAAAGACTAAAGAATGGGCTAAAAGAAGGGAGCCGACGTTAACAAAGGTAAGTTTGTTTTAAATATTTATTTTATAATTATTTTAAAACCCGACGGCCTTTGAGTATATGATAAAGTACATTTCTTGCAAGTTGTATTTTAGCAAGATTTTGTAAATTTCAAAACCTTTCTGAGAGCCAAAAACGTCTAAAAGAATAGAGCAAAGTCGCCGACGTTAACGAAGGTAAGTCTGTTTTAAATATTGATGTATTGTTTGTCTTATAATTGATATATTTATAACTGATAGTGGTGGGCGATACGGCGAATATCGAACTAAACCTATCATTGCGTATATAAGTGAAAAAAGACAGCATATAATTTCAGTGTAGTCTTATTAACTACCTTTTCTTTTGTATATTAAAGTATTTAAATAAAGAGGAAAGCAAAGTTATTTTCATGCGAGAATTTGAAATCAGCTTATTTCAAACTCAATGTTTACCGATAATTCGATAAAAGGCCGTTTAGTTTTGAGAACATTTTAAAACGTTTTTGCGAAGCGTTTGTGGTTGAATTTTACATTAAATTGATGCTTATGCACCAGTCAATGTAAATCCCCGCTTCCCCCCACCCGGGAAAGAGCGGGGAAATGCGGGGACAAACGCCAGATATTACTCGTTTTTCATTCGCCGCAATACGGGGAATGGGATCGCTATTGCTTCCTCGCATGCAAGGTCGGGGACTATAGCGGGGAAATGGCTGTTCGAGATTTATACCCTGGGAACAATTCTATTTCCGGTTTCGTCGCTGCATCCGGCTGCTTGTGCGTCAACACTGAACAGACTCAACAAGATGGCTTTGGTTGTATTTGAATGTGCTTTTGAGACCTTTTGAGAATCCATAGCATATTAGCATCGCAATGCTGTGCAAAGTATTTTATAGGAATTTGAAGAAGGCGGTGGTTGCTGAAACATTGCAAAGCTTGATATCTAGAGGTACGTGTATAAAATATGCATAAATTACATGAATATTTCATAATAAAAATTTGCATTTGTAGTTGTGTGTTGACACCTTTGGCTTACCCAATTTTTTTATTGCTTTAATAGCATCATTGTGAAGCAAGAATTTGTCGTATGATCGCCTTGATTTTTTATTAAATATTTATTATCTATTATTTAAAAGAGGCAGTCAAGTCCGTTCTGTGCATACGTTCTGGGCAGCCATACATTCAAATGGACGGGACCCGACCGAAATGAAATCTTACGCAAAAAAACACGCAATTGAAACATGTTCTTTTATTATTTGCTGTGTTGGTCAGTTGTACTGCATGGCAGACATATAGAAAACGAAAACAGACGTTTTCGTCAAACAATAGTGTCTGCGGGAAAAAATATGAAAATGCCGAAAACATTTCTGGATAGTCTGCGTACCAATAGTGGAGCTGTAAAAACGCATATCAGAATGCTAATGGGATAAAATGCCCATTCAACTGAACCTCAATACCTCATATCATATCACTATTTGTACACAGACATGTACAAAGTGTTTAATGTTCCTTGGACCGTGAATTCGCCCAAATGTTCCTCTAAAGTGCACAAAAAGAATGGATATAATTGACCGTAAACTACGCCAAATTTAGTCGACATTGAACAACACTTCACAATCTCGAATGACAGATAAGTATGATATAATGATTCCTTAAGATTTTCCCAAAACGTATATGTGTGAAAATTGAAGATATTCCTCAATCTTCTTGCTAAGGCAAATGTTCCTCATTTATCTATTCGTTCTAAATCGAAAGAGGGGAACCATGCAATGACACCTTGTATCGTAAAGTATCAGGGGATGACAGATTTGTGATCTGCATCAAAAACGGTGGTCAATATATATGGAAATTTCTGCATGGCAAGATTACACTCATTTTTTTAAGAGAATACGAAATTTTGTTCTCATGCAAGCTGGACACTGTTTTTCTGACAAATTTTGGCCATATTCTTACATACATTTTTGGACAGGTAAATACACTCAGTTTAAGATATTTCATTATAGTTGTTTGTGCCACAGGGAACAAATCGAGCGAGACCAATTGCCATGCATCAACGAGACACGGATATATACTGCATAAAATATATGCATTTCGAACATCTTGCCTTCCTTACCTTCCAGCCATTAATAAATGCATTACAAATATCAATATTGATAAACTTGATTTTCATTTTATAAGAAGCTGTAAGAGGCGGCCTTATAAGAAGCTGTATTTTATAAGAAGCTGTAAGAGGCGGAGGTAAATTCTTAGAATGTTTTTTAAATTTTCCTCAAAATTGATATGAACGAGATTCTTATAAAAAACAGATGTTAACTAAAATATTTATTAGGGGAGTAATTAAAGGGGCATACAATACTGTGGTATGAATGATAATCTATTCACACTGTTTGATAAACCGACTCGGTGAAGTGGATGGAGCTAGGTTTTCGCCAAGGTTTAAATAGTTTTACAGCCCGTGTCATCCTAAGGCCTCCCATTTTCTAAAATAAAGTTTTGCAGCTTTATATGAGAATGATATACGCATTCATACAGAGATTTAAGCCCAAAACAAAACCAAATTTGGCTCTGAAAACGCAGAAAACGACCATTCTGGACTTAAAATTTTATGGGTGAGTATGCTTCCCGACCCCCATAGCTATTCAGGCATGTAATACGTCATGCATGGGTCCATGCCTCACAACTGCCTCACAGTCTGTTCTCCTCGTTAAAACGGGCAGTTCTAAATTTTTCTTAGGATGACCCATACGGGTATATATATTATACAGGATTCATAATCCTAAGCCAACCGATCACCACATGATTGATGAGATTTTAACACTTTATATTACGCGTGTCGCATATGCACGCGGCTTTCAGTATCAGTTTCAGTTTTAAGTAAAATACCTGCATTACGCACAACTGTCAGTAACGGTGTGGGGGTTTTGTTGATTGGAATATAGACCAGTCCAATGACGTGGAACGTACCATCCAATGAGAATCCAGTGGAACCAATCCAATGAGAATCCAGTGGACCTCCTCATTTGTTCAGCAAGTGAGGTCAATTAACGTACAAAATTTTGTAATTGAGTCTTAAACCACTAAAAATTTTAAAGATACAAAGGCACACGGTGAGTGCTGTAGAATCTTGAAATAGTGTATTAATTGATTTAATATTGTGAAAGATCGAGTGAAGGTTTTAGGCAAAACAAAGTTATCAGAGGCAAATTACATCAATGTTATATACCATATCGAACCATATCATATCATATTGAACGGTCTTTGCCAGTGTAGGGTAGTGCCAATAATAACAAAAGTTCGTTGGTATGGGGTGCAACTACCTAAAAAATACAAGGAGAATTTCTCCTGGTATTTTTCAGGTAGTTACGTCCCTACCAATGAAAGTTTTGTAACACTGTAAAACCCGTCCTACCCAAACGTAATGCTAACTTTTACACAGGCGGAATCTTCCAAAGAGATCTGGAAGTCGCCTCCAACCCCGACAAGTGCGAAGAAAAGTGATAAAAGCGAGGAAGCAGTCAACACCATGCACGAAGTCTGTGTCTAGCAGTGAGACAAAGAACAGTGAGACAAAGAACAGTAACAAAAGCAGCGGTTATATATAACAAAGAAACGAAAGAATAATTTGGCTAATAGTGCAGACGAGGATGTTAGGAAGAAACAGAAGACCGAAAATGAAAAGAAAAGTTCATATTCCCTAGGTACTTTGGGAATGGGAAAATGCCAATATTACCACCGTCTCCTTTCGTTTCTAAG